TCAGTTATATATCCAAGAAGTTCAAGAATGCCAAGTAGGTGTTTTCCTGTACTTTTTACTTTATTGAAAGACAGAGAAAAAAAAAAACAGAAACCAAGGAGAGAAAAACTGCTTATCATACACGAAAGTCTTAGCTGACTTCTAATTAGAAACCACAAGGGTCAGAAAGGGAATGAAGTGGCAGAATTTCTTTCATACAGGCTAGAATGTGTGACTTACGTCCAGGAAATAGATTATAGAAACATAGTTAAAAATATGGAAGAGCCTGGTGCTGGTGGCTCATGCCTGTAATCCTAGCTACTACTCAGGAGGCTGATATTTGAGAATCATGGTTCAAAGCCAGCCCAGGCAAGAAAGTCCATGAAACTCTTATCTCCAATTAACCATCAAAAAGTCAGAAGTGGAACTATGGTTCAAATGGTAGAGCACTAGCCTTGAGCAAAAGAGCTCAGAGACAGCACCCAGGCCTCTAGCTCAAGCCCCAAGACTGACACAAAAAAGAAGTATAGAAGAAAGTACAGCAGAGGAAGTAGGGTTTAAAGACAGGAAGACGAATGGAGAGAGGACTAGTGGACAGCTATAGTCATGAAACTCAATGTACATATGTGAAAATGGAACTAGGAAACAAGGTTTGGATAGATGGGTGCGGGAGAATGATAAGTTAACACTGATCAAGATTCATTGCACTCATAAATTGACAAGGTAAATTGAAATCTTTGTACAGCTACTTAAAGGTAATAAAATTATGCTAATTAATTAACTAATTAAAAATAGCTACACAGTGGAAAAACTGGCAAACACTATTGCATTCCTCACATTATGTATGGTGCAGTCATGCTAACATCATGGATCATTCAAAATTAAATGACCAGTGTGACTTCACCTCCTTGGTCTTCTACTCTCATACCTGCAAGAACCATCTATTACAAATTTCAATTGAGAAACATTTTCAAAGGCCAAATGGTACCCCTTAAAATTGTCGAGGACATGGCAATAAAGCAAAAAAAATACTAAGAAACAGTCACAAATCAGTGGAGGTCCAGTAGAAATGATAAAATATGAGGCTTATTATTGTGCTGCAGTAAGGAGGGGTATTAACAAAAGAGGAACTATATGAAAGACTTCTGTATTATTTTTGCAACATTTTGTGCATTTGTGTTCATTTTTAACAAGGGTTGATTTTCAAAGTTTTACAAGTTGTAAGTGCCCCAGTTTTTCTATTTATTAATTTTAACAAGTATGTTCAATTGTTATGAAAATTTATGGCTCCTGCCCATTTAAGAAGCTTACATTTAAACCCACCAACAAATTAAAGAACTGAGAGTTGATTTTCTTACTGATAACTGTTTTCTTCAGCCTGGCTTTTTTCACAACCAAAAAGTATCAATGTTTTGTTTCCTTTGAATCATGAGGCAGCCTCTCTGAGCTTTTGAACAGTATTGGATCACCTTGAGCAATGCCAAGGTCAAACCATCCAATATTTTAGTGATTAGGACCATAGCTCTTAATGTCTAGGATATAAAGTGGAGTCTGAAGTCTCTATCCATGATGACCTCATTAGCTTCTACATACTATTCAGACTCATTTCTTTAATTTGTTCATTGTTGTATAGGAAAGTGATTGTGTGTGTGTGTGTGTGTGTGTGTGTGTGTGTGTGTCTGTGTCTGTGTCTGTGTCTGTGTCTGTGTCTGAGTGCAGGCACTTGTGCTAGTTCTGGGCTTAAACTATGGGCCTGGACTCTGTTCCTAAGCTATTTTGCTCAAAGTTAGTGCTCCTTCATGGACTTTACTGTGCGCTAGTTTTGAACTGTAATCCTCAGATCCCAACCTCCTGAACAGCTAGGAGTACAGGTGTGAGCCACCAGCACCCAACAGGACAGCCACTTTATATAGCCCAGGCTGGCCTTGAGCTCCCAATGAAGGAGTCAAGGCTGTCTTCAAGACTGTGATCTTCTGTCTCTGCCTCCTGGGATTATAGGCTGCTGACTTCTCTTTATTTTGGGCAGCTGTGGTGCTTGTTGGCTTGATTAGACATTTTGTTTGCTCTTTTGTTTTTATCTTGATTATTCAGATTTTTAAATGCAAAATGTAGTTAAAGATGCTGGCTCATTTGACTCTGATTATTTTATGACTTTGTCAACATTGAATCCACAGACTGGAGACTCTGTTTTTCACTTTTGCAGCACATATATTCCTTCAAGTTTCAATATTATTTTTCTCCAATTCCATATTTTATACTTAGACTTAATTTATATATTGGGTAAAGGCCTAAAAAAAGTTTATCAGCACTGGGAAGTAAAATTTTAAAGCCATGATTTTCTTATTTGATGATTTTTCCCCCTAGTAGTCTTCAATCTTGAAAATAAGCAAGGATCTCTTGAGAAATTATTAAAAATGAGATTATGACTCAGCAGGTCTGAAATATTGCTTAAGAAAATGAAGAATTCTGGTAGATTCAGATTTATTTAGTGACTGGACAATAATCTGAGGCATTAAAATACACACTAGATATAAATTGGTTTATATTCATAATGTATACTTTTCTAATAGAAATAAATTTAAGAAAAAATCTACTTAAGGGTTCTGTTCATCTTGTTTATAAATTTTATAAAGATATCTAATCATTCAAAGATAGGTTCATAATAGGTGCTCCCTTATAAAATTTATTTGAGCTCTTATTTTAAAATGATAAATAAGCATTATGCACCACTGCAAGGATTCTGACATTATTTGGAAACTTTCTGCCACGGTAATTTTGTCTCAGGAGAAATCAAAGAATTCCATAAAATTACCAAGGTATTATTTACAGAAAGCTGAGTCATGAAACAGGTGTTATGGTTGGAAAGACAAATTTGTCCTCTTCCTCACTCATAAATTTCTATTATGAGTCTGCAATCTGTGGGTCCGATGGGGCTTCATGTAGATTTATGTCATTTAGTTCCTCTCAATGAAAAAAGAGTAGATGATCTCCATGTATCTTCTGAGCTGTTTCAAAAGCACATGCAAGGTTCCAGGGCTCTAGTGGCTCCACCTTACACACATTCCAGAAACTGGCAGTTGGAAGCCACTCTTGACAAAGCATCTGTGCTGTGAACTTGACTACAATGCTAGTTAGCATTCTATTTCCATATGGCTCTTATCACTACCTAATTATTTTAAACCATGATTTTATTTCAAACAACTTATCATTGCCAAGGATCACCTTCCAGGACAACATTGCTGAAATTAAGTATTTTTGGTTCTAGGTCTATGGTGGCAAAAGCTCAAGAATGGCCTTGTTTAGAGTGGTTGTTACTCCATTCAGCAAATATTAACATTGCAATAAAACTATAAATACTTTTATAATGATTATTGTTTGTTTTAATGCTAAACTGTCCTAATAAACAAACTGAAAAACTCCAAGGACATCAACTGATCTATCTACTTATTTGCTGAGTTATTTATTTAGTCAATCTTGTGATATTTATCAAAAGTTTATTGAGTCTCAACATGACAAAGGCAAAGATGGCATCATCTCAAGTAATTTTCATATTAGCAAAAGAGAAAATTATAACATTGTCAAAAACCTATGAAGACACTACACACAAAGGTTTTATGTATTAGATGACAAGGGTAAAGAAAAGTTCTACCAGGGGCATTTTCTTTACATTATTAAGCTATGTTTTCAAGTATTGATACTGATTGAAAACAGGGATTTGAGGGAAAAGTCTGAATTTGGGATTGCATATAGCATTGGGGTTGATTCTTTTCTTGAATTTAAAGTTTAGTTCCTTGTAAGTTATATCACACATATAATTAACACAATATTCATTCTCTAAAATGGAGCTCACCTGTGTTTGCTAATTTGGGGCACTTTTCTTGGATCTAACTGGGTAAATCTATACATGGTGTGTTCACACTGTATATATATATCCATAAGTTGCTTAAAGGGTTTTGGGTTTTTCTACACACAAAATAGGAAAGGATCAAAATAATTTCATGAAAATAACTGAATACAAATTTTCGAATTGGAGTTTATGTATATTAAATGAAGTTTTGTGTGTGTATGTGTGTGTTTGAATGTTTTTCGCATAATACAATATTTCTGGACCAGTGCTAATTCTTTCTGATTCATTGTATCCAGGGCTGCTTTATATTTATAGCCCATTTCATTTAGGATTTCTTGCTTAAAAGCATTCAAAATATTATCTTTGCTTTTGAACTTGCTTAAAGTACACTTTCTGACTTTAGAAATGTTCACTGGGTGTTCAAAATGCTTTTATCTCAGGGAAGTGGCGTTTCTGTCTTGATACTATCTAACAGGATCCCCATCATGACAGTGGGGCCCTCCCTGCCTCCTCCTCTAACCCAAGGCCTCTGGCTCAGATCTGTCTCTTGTCTGCTTTCTTACTAGCCACATAAGCTTCAGCTATGGATTAGAAAAAATGTCAAAATCTAACAAGCCATAGGATTGACAATGTAACACTGAATCCCTGGAGAAGCTGGCCTGTGCTGAGCCCTAACATAATTATCCGTCCCTTCTTTCTACAATAACCATTCAGTGACTTAAATCATGAAACATATATTTTGTCTTAAGTTCTATGACTATTAATTTTGTTTAAATGAAGATAGTTTCTGTACACATAAATTTATTTATTTAACCAAGGATAATTTATGTGCATGTCAATAACTAGATCCTAATATACTTTAAATATTTTACATCATGCCAAGTTGTCACTGATGGTATTCTATAGTGTTTATAAAAGGTTGGTGTTTCAACTGGACACTTTAGGTTCATATCTTAGAATAATTCTCTTCAGTTCATGAGCCTCTATACTATAATTAGGAAATCAGTTAATGCAGATTTATTGACCTGGGGTATGGCTTATCCGGTAGGGTGCTTTCTAATCAAATTTAACTTTTTTTCCCCTTTGCAGTTGGTTAAAGCCATGAACAAGGACTACCTCACTGTGAATTCCTTCAGGCAGAAGCTTTTGTCAGTAAACAGTAGCATCTACTCACGTTTGTCTTGATCAGCTTCCACTCCTTCGCTTTCCGTGTCACTTGGCAAGAGCCATGGCTGATGAACTACCTGAAGTTGCTTTAAGGATTCATCCTGCCAGAGAACATTTTTTTTTCAATTAGACTCTATGGTGACATCATGAACACCACTATGGGTGAGCACTTTAGTCTCCAAAAATCACATACTTTACAAACTGTAAGAAGAATCTCCCCATAGCAAAAAGCTATCACATTCATTACATTACATTCATTTTTTTTATGCCACAGATATAAACCACAAAACTCTTAACTCAATTTGTTTCTACATTCTTTTTGTAATAAGATTTAGAAATGTAATAAGAAATACTTAAACTATGTCTCTCTTGCACTGATAGTTTATGGAAATTCTGACACGATTCTATAATCCTCAAATAGTCAATTGAAGATCGAATAAAGTGTGCTTATTTTCCATCAAAGATAAAAAAATAATTTAATGAGAGTGGAGATCAGTAGGATTTATTGAACCTATTACTCTTTTTCACCCTATAGTACTACTTTACTCTCTCCTTCCTTCTCTTTCTTCCTCTTCTTTTTAACCTTTCTTCTTTCTTTTTTAACTTCCTCCCTCTCTTCCTTCTTTCCTTCCTTTCCTCCTTCCATTTCTGTTCTCTTTATTTCTCTTGTCTCTTTCTCTCCTTCTTTCTGTCTCAAACTTCTAGGCTAAAGAGATCCTCCTGCCTTGGCCTTCTAAGTAGATGGGACAACAGATGTATACCACCTGTAGTCTCAAACTCAGCTTCAGTTCTTTATTTTTGTGAAAACATTGCTCATATGACTCCTTGCTGATTTACCCTACAGTCACTGACCATTTTTATAGTAGTGATAGCCACTTACCAAATTTTTAAAAAACAAATTTTATGAGTTTCTAATTCTCCCCAGTGACTATATCTTAGAGTGATTTTTAAGTGTATGATTTCCTCATTACCTTGCTCATAATTTTTCAGGGACTCTTCCATCATTCCCAGATAAAATCTAACTCAAGGTCCTTCCTGATCCATGCATACAAACCTGATCCTCCATATTACCATGTACGCTCCATCGCCATCTCCACAGCTCCTCAAATTTGCTATACCTTGTAATCTACAGGCTACCTTACCCTGTACTTCCTTGTCTCTCAGTGACCATCACCATACATTTCCAACATTCCTTCACCAGACATAAATACTCCTCTGTTCCTTTTGTTTTTTGCACTAAAATAACCATCACTATGCTCTAATTGCTTTTTCAAATTTTCTGTCTCAATAATGATAGTCCTGGAGGACATAAGTAACTTTATTTACCTCTGTATCCACAGGGTCTATTGAAATTTCTACCTCAAAAAAGGGACTCACTTCATAAATTCATAAGCATTTATGTAGTAGAAAATAAGAAGCAAAGAAAAGAAAGGATGAAAGGTAGAAAGACAGGAGCTGAGAAGAATGCCGTCTCCCTTAGAACAAAAGAAGTAGCTGACTTTAAATTTATTAATCAATGAGTCAACTTTTTTTAAATGATTTTTAATTAAAAGCATAGAAATCAATATGACTTCTGAGTTCTCTCATTTGACATCTCAGATTTATTATTTTTACAATGACCTTTTCCTCTAACTTCAGATAGCTTTATTTTGTTTGGGCAAATACTAGCAATATAAAAAAATAAATGTTTATAGCCTGGCTCTCTAGAAACATGACATAATGGAATATTAAATATATGTTTTGCTTAAAACAGCTTCAAGTGAGATAAACAAGCTATCAGCTAGGTTTTGCTTTTAATGAAAATGTTCATCCCCAGTCTAGAGTTTCAAAAAGGCACAGTGTGACAATGAGAGATGTTCCATAGATGAATCATATGTATAGTATAATAATAAGTATAAAACATTATACATTTGAAAGTCATACAATTTCTATGTCATATGTAAACTGTAATGGATAAACTATAGTGTATATATGAGGTATACAGTGGGGTCTCATTAAGAGGTAAGATGATTCAAGAATGGAGGGAAAATACATTAAAAATCTATATTATTTAAATTTAAATAAGTATTTTAAGTATTCTTTTTAAGTATATATGTTTATAAATATTATATATATACACAGCTTATTGAGATTCTGACCTAATTAATTCTTGGAGTGAGTAAAGTCTATAAAACCAAAGGCAAAAAGAACTGCATGTAAGATCTGTGCATTGCTTGATAAAGTTGCCTGTCCTGGAAGTATAGGGTTAAAATTCTGAAACCATTAATCATGGATTCTGTAATTAGATAATGAAGTAAATGAATGGCAGATGGTGAGGGCACGGCTGTCCATGTTGGTGTAGAAAGTGTACAGAAGAGCAAAGGAAGTAGATAAGAGTAACCAAGAGCTTGGTTTCTAATGCCATTTTCCAATGAAAGGATAAGAAATCTTGGAGAAATTACCTATTCTAGAGCTGAACCAAGAAATACACAATTAAGACCATATTTTGGTGTTAGGAAATAGTACTGCTCAAGTATGCCCCCCCTCCCCACCCCTATGGATGAGGTAAGTGAAAAAGATAGAGAAGCCAACTGGAATATCTACCAGGAGCCAAAGCTAGCAATTTAGCAAAATAAACATGGTATTTTACTACCACAAATACAAAAAGAATATCTCTGATCTCATACTGATAAAAAAAACAAATGATAAAAGATATACATGGATGGGAAGAGACAAACATGAGCACACAGTTATTTAAAATGCCACTCTGACCTTTAATGGTGAATATTGCATCATTATTAAAAAATAGTTTGAAAAGGGAGCAAAAGAATGACTTTACAGTGGAGAAATATGACAAACATCCCATGTAAACCCTTTTAAATGAAGGTCAACATTAATGAGTCATGTGATGAAATGGAAATTTGTTTCTGTGGGTTCTCATTTTTTTTTCACAATGCTTTGCTAGGGTTTGAACTCAAGGTCTTGCACTTGCTAGTCAACTTATCTAGCACTTGAATTATGCTACCAGTTCCTTTTAGCTTTGGTTATATTTTTCAGATATGGTCTCACATTTTTGCTTTCAGTGTGATTCTCCTACCTATTGCCCCTCACATAGCTGAGATCACACCACCATGCCCAGCTAATTCGTTGAGGTGTGTGTCTCACTAATTTTTGCCTTAAACCACAGTCCTCCAGATCTCTGCCTCTCAAATAGCTGCATTTACAGGCATAAACTACCACTCTATGTTCTTTTTCTTTTTAATTATTTCAGTTTACGTATAAGGAAACTCTTAAACAAATATCAATGGGGAAAACAACCCTAAAATATTTGATCAGTAGGACTCAATGCTGTAGTGGTCATGAAACATAAAGTAATGTTTCAGAAAATGTCACAAACAAGAGAACAAGAAGAACCTAAGGAGATATAAGTACTAAGTGTAATGTGGCTTCCTGGACAGGATCCTGGATGGAATCCTGGATTCGAAAAAGGCCATTAGAAAAAAACTTGTGGAAAGCTGAAGAGAATGTGGATTTCATTACAACAATGGATCAATTATGACTTATTAAGTATGTCAAATGTCTCATACTAATGTAAAGTATTAGTCATAATTGAAATTGGATAGGAGATTTATAGGAACTCTCTGTTTTATCTTTTCACTAACTCTCTAAATCAACAACTACAATGTTTTATTTTTAACGTAATCAATTCTTGAAAGCTGTCATTTATTTGGATTGGAACTTACATTTCTATCCAAGAAGAGATGAGCTCCCCAGTGAAATGCCCTGGAGTCAGGGGTCAGGATTAACGGTCAGTTTGGGCACATAACTTCTTTACTAATGATGGATTAGGGGGTAATAGATTAGAAGATGTGTGGTCTATGTGTAGGGCTCAATTCTTTCAGACATTTGAATGTGAGAAACCCTAGATGGACTGTTGAAGGAAAAGTTAGCAAAATTTTATTAAATCTTACACATGGATTTATGCTTTTTAAAGGTTTAACTTAATTTTCCTAACTTTATTAATTATTAGATTTGGCCTTGTAGGGCTAGACCAAAGAAGCAATATTGATGTGATAAAATTGCAGATTTAAAATTCCATAACTGTATAGAAAATAGCATCAGTAAAATGTCAACATTTTTCAAGTAGCTGGATGTTAGTGGCTCATGCCTATAAGTCTAGCTTCTCAGGAGGCTAAGGCTTAGATGTTTTTTGTGTCAGAGATCAGCCTGGACAGAAAAATTGGAGAGATCCAATTTGCAAAATAGCCAGCAAAAAGTCAGACTGGAAATGTGGCTCAACTGTTGCAGGGCCAGCTGTAAGTAAGCAAGCCAAACAAGCTTGAGATCCTGAGTCCAAATCCTGACACTGGGGAAAATATACTGATATGTAATGAAGAAGAAAAACTATACTCCTACACTATTTCAAAAACAAAATGCTATACCATATCCAATATTTAAAGAATTATTTTATTGGAAAATACCGTACAGAGGGGTTATAATTACATGGGCAAGGTAATGAGTACATTTCTTTTGGGGGGGGGATGCGGGGGAGGTCTGGTTGTGGGTCCTGAACTCTGGGTCTGGGCGCTGTCTCTCAGCTCTTCAGCTCAAGGCTAGCGCTCTACTACTTGAGCCACAGCGCCACTTCCAGATTTTTTCTTTTTGCTTATGTGGTGCTGAGGAAGTAAACCCAGGGCCTCATGCATGCAAGGCAACTGCTCTACCACTTAGCCACCTTCCCAGCCCCCATGTGTACATTTCTTATCAAGCATTGCAGCCTCATCCTGTTTCCCCTTACCATCCCTTCCCATCTCCTTCACCCCTCTCTGCCCACCCCCACTTCCCCCTGCGCCAAAGTTGTAAAATTCGTTTTCCCACATAACGACTTCTACATCTCATTGTTGCAATGGGTCCACCTGTATCACTATTTAAACAATTTCGTTTTTCCCTTCCCCTCCACAAAGTATACCAACATCAAATGCAGTGAAAACAGGGGTTATACTGTGTGTGGGGGGGTGGACATACAAAGCAAAAAGGAAATTATCTTATAAATATGTTAGAAACAATCCCATGAAAGAAAAAAATTTGAATACTTATGGTGGGGTTCATTTAACCTAACATC